GCAGGCGGTCCAGCAGGCGGCCGCCTGCCGTCCTGTCTGGCCGCCTGCCGTCCCGTCTGGCCGACCGGTGGTTGGTTTCGTCCCCTTGTGCCGCAGGCGGCCACCGTAGGCGGCCGCCTTCTGTCCAGTGTCGGTAGCCTTCGGTCTTTTCCTAGTCCCGAGTCAAAGCGAGGTTGACTTCTGATTTTTCCCGTAGGCGGCCGCGGAGGCCTCCATTTTGGGCGCCTATTTGGGCGCCTTCGGCCATTTTTGTCTGGCAGATGCGGCTTTTCTTGCTCTTCATTTTTGTCTTCTGAATCACCTTGATAAAATGCTTGCTTCTTCCGGTATAAATGCATTTGTCACTCAAATTGACTCATTTTGTGCTCAATTGACCCGAAATCCCGCTAAACATATTATGGATGTGATTTTCACCTGATTTCATGAAACTTGAACCAAAATATCTAAAACATGCCTTTTCTTTCTATTTTCAATCAAAAATCGCTTAAATTTGATAAGAAAAATAAGTACAAAAATGGACTTATCAGTAACCCAGATGAACGGCACTGCAGAAACCAGGGAAGAGAGAATGAAGGTTTACAAAGAGCTGGCGGAGGAACAGACCGCACAATTTGAGCAGGTGGTGCTTGAGCAGGTATCGCGGGTGGAGAATGCAGAGGCGGACATATTGTCAAAACTAAGCAACCCCCCAACCGATGATCCGGCACCAAGCATCCCCCGACACATCAGAGGCTTCGTTAGGCAGGAGGTGTTCCCAGCACCGGCAACGGGCGTCATCCAGGTGGAAGTTATCTCCATTGCCGAACCTAACTGGGCAAAGGAGATAGCAGATTATCTCAGAGATGGAACACTCCCTGAGCCCGAAGGTGATGGCAGCACAGGAAGAGCCGCGTGGATAAAGAGGCGTGCCCCCAACTTTGAACTTATTGACGGGCAGCTCTACAAGAAGACGTTCGGCGGACCCTACCTCAGGTGCCTCCCGCCGAGCCTGGCAGCGGCGGTGATCGAGGAAATACATGAAGGGATCTGCTCCAGCCACCAGGGCCCCCGGACCTTGGCCAGAAAAATCATCCTGCAGGGCTATTACTGGCCGACCATACAGCAAGATTGCTTCAACCACACTCGGAAGTGCGCAGTATGCCAGCAGTATGCACCTGTCCCTGGCCGCCTAGCGAGTTTCTACACCCCGATGACCATCGCACTACCTTTTGCTAGGTGGGGAGTAGACCTGCTGGGTCCTCTGCCAACGGCTGCTGGTGGAAGGAAGTTCGTCATCGTGGCGGTTGATTATTTCACGAAGTGGGTCGAGGCCGAACCATTGGCCTCCATCACTGATTTCCAGTGCCAGAAGTTCGTCTGGCAGAACATCATTTGCCGCTTCGGGATCCCGGAGCAGATCATCACGGACAACGGTCGGCAATTCGTCGGCAGAGGCTTTGAGGCATACTTGGCGAAGTGGGGCATCAGGCACTCTAAGGCCTCGGTGGCCTACCCGCAAGCCAACGGCCAAGTGGAGAACATGAACCGGACCATCATGGATGGGATCAAGAAGAAATTGGAAGACTACGCCTCCACCTGGCCGGAACAGCTGAATTATGTCTTGTGGACATATAGGACAACGCCCAGAACGGCGACTGGGGAAACCCCTTTCGCCTTAGCTTATGGGTTCCAAGCAAAGGTACCGACGGAAGTATTGGTACCTACACACCGCACCAAGCACTTCCAGCCGGAGGACAACGAGACGAACCTTCGAGCGGAGCTCGATTTCATTGAGGAACGGAGGGACCTAGCGGCTCGTCGCATGGAAGAATATCACAGGGCCACCCAGAGATACTTCAACAAGGCCGTGAAATTCCGCGAAATAGAGGCCGGGGACCTCGTCTCAGGAAAAGAGAGAAGAGCAAGCCGCTCGAAGGCGGCAAAATGGCGAAGAACTGGGAAGGACCTTACCGGGTCATCAGAAGATACAACCAGGGGACGTTCCTCCTCCATACCCTGGAGGGGAACCATGCCGGGATGTGGAACGTAGAACACCTGAAGAAGTTCTACCAATAGTTAGAGGATAGTGTTCCTGTTTTTATTCCCACTCCCATGTAATGTGACCGGACGTCGTCAATAATAAGGCCCCCCGTTTTTCATCACTTCTGTTCTTGCCAACGACCGTTAGAGAAGGGAATCTCGATGCAGATAAACCTGTTCCTCATTGAGATGTCGGCGGATACCGGACGTCTCCTCGAAGTAGGAACGCCGGTAGGACCAGGGACCAATGACGAACGAAGCACAGGGAATCTCGATGCAGATAAACCTGTTCCTCATTGAGATGTCGGCGGATACCGGACGTCTCCTCGAAGTAGGAACGCCGGTAGGACCAGGGACCAATGACGAACGAAGCACAGGGAATCTCGATGCAGATAAACCTGTTCCTCCTTGCGATGTCTGCGGATACCGAACGTCTCCTCGAAGTAGGGACTCCGGTAGGACCACGGACCAAGGACGAACGAAGCACAGGGAATCTCGATGCAGATAAACCTGTTCCTCCTTGCGATGTCTGCGGATACCGAACGTCTCCTCGAAGTAGGGACACCGGTAGGACCAAGGACCAAGGACGAACGAAGCACAGGGAATCTCGATGCAGATAAACCTGTTCCTCATTGAGATGTCGGCGGATACCGGACGTCTCCTCAAAGTAGGAACGCCGGTAGGACCAGGGACCAATGACGAACGAAGACCATAGATTACCTCCCTCAAAAAAAAAATGATGGGGAGAAGAGGAGAGTAGCTCCTATACGGAAGGGAATCTTGCCCGGGTGTGCCAGATCTTCCCCCACCGCCGAAGACGAACGCCTCTCGATGTAGAGGTTAGTAGAGACGTGGAGGGGGCTAGACGAACCAAGGGAGCCTGCCAAGATAAACCTGTTTATCCCACAAATGACCATGGATCGATGGACGTGGGATAACAAAGACGGGAACCCGTGAGGGTAAACCTGTTCGTCCCTGCGAGTTCTTTGGGTACCGAACGTCTTCTTCGAAGCAAGAGACGCCGGTAAGACTAAAAGGGCCACGGACGAACGAAGAAAGGGGGAATCTCGATGTAGATAAACCTGTTCTTCCTTGCGATGTCGGCGGATACCGAACGTCTCCTCGAAGTAGGGACGCCGGTAGGACCAGGGACCAAGGACGAACGAAGACCAAAAGACTCCAAAAAAAAAAAATGCCAGAAGAGCACGGAGCAAAGAATGATTTTTTATTCCTCGGCACTATTGGCCGGAAAGTTACAATGTGCGAAGGTACAATGCAAATAGTGGAAAAAATTGTACAAGTACAAGATAATGAACGGAGAATCACGGCCGATCGACATCCGGAGTTGGAACCTTGGAAAGGGCCTGCTTGGCTTTCTCCCTAGCTTCGGCTTCCTCCTGCTCCTTCAGCAGCTCAAGGGCCCCCGCATGGGCATCTGCCATCAAGACGTCGAAGCCAGCTGCCTCCGGATCGAAGGGAGCCCCGAAGTGACGCTCGAACGTCGGGAGATTCTCCGCTACTAGCCCAACCATACCCTTGCGGTAGGTGTCATCGGCGAGATCGTCAAGGAAGCGACGTCCGGTGGGGGTGGCCTGGAGCAATTTAACCCCATCCTGATAGGCATCCGGGCAGGTGGCCAGGAACTCGCCGACGAGCCGCGGGAGGAACTTCATGGCCATGGTGTGGATGGCGCCAGTATAAGCTTTGGATTTCTGGAAGGCAATAGAACCAGACTCCTTGATTTTGGCAACATCGGCCTCATAAATAGGGACATGATTGTCCACGCCCGTCTGGCGAAGCTCCACCTTGGCCTTCTCTACGGCCCACATCCGGCTGCGGAGATCCCCGAGCTCGGCCTCCTGCTTCTTGAGGAGCTCCTTCTGAGAGGCATTCTCCTGAACGAGCTTATCATAGGCATCGGCTTTCTCTTGAAGAGTGCCAGCCCTGCCTTTTGCATTCCTCAGAAGGGCATCACACTCAGCCCGCACTCTGGCCATCTCCCTGCCCTGGTGCTCGAAGGCCATCCGAGCCCTGTGAAAGTAGAGCCCCGGCCTTATCCAAGGTGCTCTGGCCGCACTCCAAGAGATCTTCAGGGGCCGCCTGAGCAGCGAAATCCTGCGGGACCTTGAGATTCAGCCCACACCAGATGGAGGACGCTGTCTGGCCGAAGAGCATCATTGACTCTCTGCGGGGACCAACCCCGGAGAACTCAATCAGGCCAAGAGAAGACCCACTGGCTTCGGGGGGAGAGGTTGGACGGGCGTCGTCAGAACCTCTAGCGGATGGGGCATCATCATCCCGGAGACGGCGGACGTCGGAACTCCTCGGAGGAGAGGCACGGAAATTGGTCCGAGAAGTGCGCTTCCGTTTGAGGGGACTTCCGGGCTCCCCATCAGAGTCGTCGGCCACTATAATGGCCTTGGAGGCAGTACCTTCGGCGCGCAGCCGCTTGGAGGCGCCAGCTCCCGAATCATCCTCAGCCCGTGCCCTGGTCACCCGAGATTCGACCTTAGGGACAAGCGGCTTCCCGGGCTTATCATGCCCCTTGTGCTCACGGCCGGTGGCGGTCGAAGTAGCGTTGGCTCGGCTCATGGTAGACGAGGCTGGAAAAACTCCTGCACAAAGGGAACCAAGACGTTCAGAACCACAACAGCGAAGAGATGTTAAAACAATACAAGTACAAACGGACGCACCTAATCCAGCCTGAGCTTTAAAGGGCTCGGCCACCAGCAACCGGAGGTTCTGGATGCCAAGTCCGACTATGCGCTTGGCATATCCAAGCTCCTCGTCCGTCATGGGCGGCGGGATCGTCTTCACGGGGTAAGCGTTCCACCGGTCAGAGAATGGCATCGGTGAGCCTACTCCGGCCAGGAAGAAGCGTTCTTCCCAACCGGCCGGATTCCCAGCATTGTTCGAGAATAGAACCATGGACGGACGGGCGATCAGGGTCAAATACCCTGTGCGTCCGAAGGTGGACAGACGGAAGAAGTAGTGCAGCAGGTCCACGGTGGGGGTCACACCGACGCTATGGCATCTAATGATGAAGCCAGCGATTATCCGATAGGCGGCAGGGACGAGCTGCGCAGGCACAATCTCAAGGGCCCTGAAAAGTTCCAAGTGGAAGCTGTGCAGGGGGAAGTTCAGCCCGGCTATCACCGAATCCAGGTGAACCACCACATAGCCGGGCAGATGGCGCATGGGGTTCCGCAGACGCCGATCGTCGTAGGCCCTTGGAGGATAAAACCATTGACTGATCAGTCGTTTATCAGCATTCGTCAGGCGTTGAACTTGACGCCGAACGCACGAGAAGCTGAGACTGTAACGGGGAGGCCGGGGTGGCATTCCCCGCTCATAATATTCCAGGTCATCGCCGGAAGAATATCCATCGTCAAAGCGATTTTCGGAAGACATGACAACGAGCGGTACCTTTGGGGTTCGAGATTTCCGATACGGTTTGAGAGAGAAGACAATTGTGCAGCGTAAGGAGAAATGTGAGTGTATCACATGGACTCTGGGTACTTATAGGCAACGCCGCGGAATCGTGCCAACCGAAGCAGGACACGTGGCGCCTGGATACCGGTACCTACCACGGCATTTAAGGCATCTCGATTTTGTCGCCACATAACCACCACAAAGACATCCGGGTCCGTGCCACGAACGTCCCTTCAGGAGGGCTTACCGGCTCGGGGGGATTTGGAGACATTTCGTCTTTCCATATTTCCGTAATTCTCCGGCTGTCCCTAACATCGGCGGCTGATGAGGACACACGCAATAACCGGCCACGTTCGTCTTGCAGTACACCGGGTTTTCATGTGACGCAACTGTAGACGAACATCGTCACCGAACGCTGTTTCAGGGAAATACGTCCATACGTCCATACTTGAGAAGTGTACTGTCAAGGCAACTACCGACGAACGTCTTCCCATTGTCAGAATACCGCGTGGGCGGCAAGCCGGCTTCGGTAGGAGGACGTCGTGCGATGAATGTGTGTCGAGGACACAAAAAATGGAGGACACAAGAGTGATGAAGTAAAAATCACGTCCTTAGCTTACCAGCAGGGGACGCACGCATCAAATAGGCTACATTCGCCTTTCCACACTCCATGCCAGTCGAACATGTAGGACAGACGGACATCCTCGCTTGAAGCTTGAGCATTCATGCCACAGCAGTAGACGAACGTCGTTAACAGCGAAGTGTGCTGTTAGGCCAACCCCCGACGAACGTCGTCTTACCATCAGAATGCTGTTGCAGGAGGGGCAGCCAGTATCGGCGCCGAGTGTCGCCATCCGAAGACGGACCTCAGCACTGGCACCGCGCACTTAAGTGTGTACGGGTGTTTGGCAAGGAGACGCCCCTGCCCCGAACCAATTGGGGACAGGGATGAACGTCCACGCCAACTATGCAACAGGGTGTATCGAGACACGAGGGGAGTTTCCATACAACAAGAGTACAAATGCGAAGTAAAGATCATGAGCGTAGAGGTAATTTTGGGCAAAAGAGCATGTATATTCTTCGGCTCTAACGGCCGGACATTACAAAAGCTAGAATGGAAAAATACAAATTACATTATACAAAGAAAGGGGATTCCGGTCGGCTGCCACCCTGGTTCGGCTCCTCCTCCTCTTCCTCAGGCTCGGGGGACGGGGGTTCCGGAATTTCCCCTCTAGCCTTGGCCTCCTCCCGCCGTTGGTCTCTCCCCAGCTTCCCCAAGGCTTGGAGCAGCAGATCGTCGTCTGTATGTGCAGCAAGCTCGAAGTCGGCCCCCTGCAGCCTTGAAAAAATGGGAAGGGTGGCCTTGACCCCCTCGTTATAGCCAGCGGCGAAGGAGCTGTCGCCGACCTCGTAAAGGAACTTATGCGACAGGGGAGAGCTCTCCAGGATCCGCACGCCGCTCGCCAAGCGCTGCCGGAGCGGGATCTTCGCCAGCGCTGCGGAGAATACATCGCCGAAGGCCCCGGCGCAGTAGTCCCTGGCGGAGTCCATAAACTCCCCAGTGTTCCGATAGCCGGAGGTATCAACCAGCCACTCCGGAATGACATCCCTTGCAGCAGGGTGCACCGGGACAAGCTTGAAGCCAGCCTTCTCAAGGCTGACCAGCTGCTGGCGGGATTCTGCCCGCAGAGCAGCGATCTCTTTCTCCTTGGCCGCCGCCTCCGCCTCCGCTCGACGAGCGGCCTCCCGGGCCGTAGCAATGGCCGCATCAGCCTTGGCCCTGACCTCCTTCAGATCGGCCTCCCTGGCAGCTTCAGCTTGGAGGACAAGGAGCCCAGACTGGGGAACAGAAGGAAAAATAAGAACAATGGTTAGATGACGAACGTCAAGAGAAAGATGTAATCGGATCTGGCAAAGAAGGGATACCTGAAGGGCGGCTGCCAGGGCAGCACTGGTCGCCTCGGACGACGAACGGCGGGGCAGCTCGAGACCGGCCTTGAGGGCCATCTCCCTCCAAAGCTCTTCCGCCGGGCAGCTCAAAGGCAGGGACCCAGCATCTTCAAGCAGGGGGCCAGTGGAGCCTGCCTCGCGGCCCCTCTTCTGTTTCTTCTCAGGGACCTTCTCTGTCCCCTTCTGAGGAGCCGCCTTCGTGGAGATGATCGGCGGGGGAAGGGCAGCTTCGAGAGCAGGGGGCCCGGAACCCTGAGCCAGCATAGTGGCGATCAAGTGCTGCTCACCCTCAGCAGTCCGTCTGGCAGCATCAGAAGCCGAGGAGTTGGACTCCGAGGCGGGGGCGTTTTTGGCTTTCGCCATCGCAGCTTTAGCCGCAGCCGCCTTGGCCTTCCTGGTTTTCAGACACTCAGCGTGATTCATCTGGTCCCTGTCTGGCGGAGAACCTGCAGGAAACAACAAAGGATTAAAAGACGGGCGGGGAATACAATAAGACACTCACCTCGAAGGACAGGACCGCCGGTGCCCCGAGACGAGCGTCGAAGGGTGGAAAGAGTCCAGGGACACGGGCGGTACCTATGCCTGCCCCGGAGAGTGCCTCGAAGGTCAGATATCCGGCTATGGGACGGACGCCGCCCTCCAACACCTTCTCCACGTCCAATAGCAGATCGTCGGTCGGCTCCGGTGACTCAATCTTTGGGGGATAGCCATTCCACCGAAGAGGGAGAGGAGGCCCGTCGTATCGAAGGAAGAAGAAGCGGTTCTTCCAGTCGTGGATGGACGAGGGGTAGCTCTTGAACAGCCGTCTCCCAGGACGTGCGGCCACGCTCAGATACCCGTCGGCATTCTGGGGAGTGACGCGGTAGAAATAGTGGAAAAGCTCCAGAGTGGCATCGACCCCCGCAAGTTTGCAGCGCACCAAGAAGGCCGATATGAGCCTATAAGAATTTGGCATGAATTGCGCCGGGGCCACCTGGAAGCAGTGGAAGAATTCCACGTAGAACGGATGGAGCGGGAACCGCAGCCCGGCTTCAACGGAATCCAAGTGGAGCACGATCATCCCCGGACGTCTCCTCATCACATGTTCAGCGCCTCTCACACTCCAGACGAACGGCGGGGGAAAGAAAGTACGGATTTTGTTGAGGGCCACGCGGGAGAGGACCTGGTCGTGGTCAAGGGCGCTCCTGATCGGGCAGATGTGGCGCTCCATATCCGTAGGGATGCCCAGATCATACACCTCCATATCGGAGCCGGATTCGGCCTCCTCTCCAGAATCATAATCTGCAGGACGCTCGTTCAGGGGGACTGCGTCAATAACATCTACTGCCCCATCAGCGTCCCCATCCCCTGCGTCGCTCCCACTACTTTGAGAAGCGTCATCCGGCTCACCATCAGCCCGGATGGTTCCTACCGTCGTGGCCGAACCAGAGGTCCCGGAAATACTGGCCTTCCCGGGGGAGCGCGCACTCACAGTGTCCGAAGAGGAGCCCGAGGAGGAACCCGACGAACCAGAATCAGAACTTGACGAAATCTCCATCGAAGTCATTTCGGCTAGGAATCAGAACAAAGAAAAGAAGCAGAGGGGGGAAATTACCTTACAAGGGGGTTAGCCGAATTCGGAAGAAAACTTGAAGAGCTGCGGAAAATCGAGAGCAAGAGAGCAGAAATTGGGAACCCTAATTCAGAGGGAAAACCCGGCATTTATAGGAGAAACACCGATGGGGAAGCCAACGAGGGGCTGACACGTGGCAAGGAGCATATTCCGGCCCACGCGCTGTGCGTGGGATGGGGGCGCAATGATGACACTTCCTCGGGAAATTGCACCGCCGCAACATCAGCCGTCACCTCGTTTCCTGAACCGTCGACAGCTGTCAAGCACCATGACCACGAGCGTACGCTCCCAACGGGTGCAGAAAACACAAGTGTCAAGACACGAACGTCTACCTAGAGGAGATTCCTACTTCCTTATGTCCTGCGCGAGCCCAGAACATCAGAAGTGGGGGACTTGTGTTGGGTAAATGGCCCAAGCCGAGGTCCGGCCCACTAACCCATATTGCCAGACGCACGTCCAGTTCGAACTTCAGGACAGCCCACGGGCCCATGTCCCTTAAGGATGGACGAACGTCTGGTGTTGGGGGGTTCAGGCCCAGCAGTTCATCCCGACGAACGTCTATGCAGGGACAAGGGGCAGAACCACGGGCCACCAGGGATGGCGACGAACGTCTCCAGAGCAAGCCTGTAGTCATCGGAGAAAACCCAGACCACATGGTGAGTATCTATCAAGGCCAGGAGACGAACAGCCAATATCTTTCGAGGGTCACTTGGAGCGATCCAACTCACTTCCCGGGTGGACGAACGTCCCCACTGATCCGGCGGGAAACCTAGATTCTGGCGGGAAGTGCATTTAATGCTGAAGATTTGGTGGTTGGGACACAAGCGGTCCACAGGCTTCCACGTCAGCATAGCTACCTGCCCATTGGCGGGTATAAATAGAAGCATTTATTTCATTGTAAAGGGTTGGCAACTTTCTATTCTTAGCATACTAGCTTCAGCATTCTTACTCGCAGCATTTCTAACTGCCTTGTAAGACGAACGGCCGACGTGCCTTTTTTAGCAAGTAGATTGTACTTAGGGGAGTTATTACGAAGTTAATAATACCTATTTACATTGCCTGCTATTCCTCTTATTTCCTGATCCATCTGATAGTTGTTGGGCTAGACTTTCTTACTTACACTCACTCCACTCGAAATCTTTGGGCTTACGTGTTGGGTCCAAGGGTTGAAGGAATAAACTTCAACATTGCTAAAAATTTTCATTCTTAAAAGAAAAGGGGAAGCAAGTGTTAAGGGGGAGCCTTTTAATATTGAAATCAGACTGATTTGGGCCCGTTAAGTTCAAAATTCTCCCGGGCCTATTTAAACGAATGAAACGCGCAACCCTCCCCATTCTTCACACTTGCGCGAAATGATCGAACTCTCAAGAGCTCAAAATCTCCCTTTGCTTCTTCCATCTCCTCTTCAAAGCTTCACAGGGTAAAATCTCTCCATTTTTCCTTCATTTGAAAATGCTTTAACAGGTTCACTGATGAAGACGACGAACAAGCTCCCTGCGCGAACCCCTTTGCGTAATCGAAGGCTTTTTTTATTTACTTTAGCTTTTCTAATTAACCCCCCCCACTCCCACCCTCAACCCCACCCCCAAACCCCCTCCCAATACACCCAGCCCTACCCGGGAGAAACCAAAAGAATTGAAAAAAAAAAAGGAAATAGGCCCGGGCCAGTTCCACTTTTAGGAGGCCCGAGCCCGCCCCCTCTTAATCCCAGTTCAGGTGGCCCGGACCGGTCCTATGACCGGGTTCTGAGCCGAGCCCAAACAATGCCGGTTCCGGACCATGTGACCCGACCCAAGTCCATCACTAATCATGTCCGTCCCAGATCAAAATAAAGGAGGAAAATGTTGTGGTAGGCATAGTGACGGCCAACAGCCTACTTAGTCACATCACATCATATGAATCAAAATATGAATATCACTAGGCTCTGATATCATGAATTGATTCATGTTTGCTGAACCCAAAATCTTTTAGGATTAGGACCTGATGTTGTTGTCGATGTGTTCTTTATATTGTAGACCCTAGTTCCATTTTTTTCATTCAAATTCAAATAGAATGCAACTGATGTGGCCATGGCAGGTTTGTTGTTTAAATTTATTTAATTAACTCCAATAAATAGATTCATGTCAATCTAGCACAAACATGTTTACACTTGTAAAGTTGTAACGATCCCAAAAAGTAAAGAAAAAAAAGCACTGAACCGAACGTGTCCACAGTCCACACATAAGTTCAACTACTAATTTCTTTGTTCTAACAAATTTTGAAGTTGGGTGTGTTTATAAAAACTGCACTAACAAATGTGTCTTGCTTCTGTTTGCACTAAAAGTGAGTGAGGTAAAAAGAGAGAACTCAAGAAGTATTGCATATTATGACGGAGACCTGGTGCGAAACATACTGTCAGAGGACACTCACCTTAGTTTGGTTAGGAGATAATTAGGAAAGATTTTTGTGACAAACACATTTATTTCGCGCCAATATAGAGCAAATTTATCTTGCATCAAATTAGTCACCCCAGTTGACACTAATTGCCATTATTGTTTATATTATTATGATGATTATTATTACTATGAATGAGATATATAAGAACCAAAGACATGATGAGAGTATATTGGTTAGCCAAAGAGGACGATGACATTTTCTTTTAGGCACCGGAGCCAGAGCCAGCCAAGCGACGCCTGGTAGCATTGGAAATGGAAACTTGACCTAATTTATCCACTTCTTCACTCAATGCAGTACGTTCTATGGGCGGTGTATAATGCCTCAACCAAACACCGGTGTATACCTGAATTGAATATGAATGATACAATCAAGCCAAGTCACATCCAAGAAAAACATTTTTATACATAATCCAAAAACTAATTACTTAAATGACAAAACTGGATGCTTGGTGATGCTCTTAGCGTACATCAAGGTTTTTGAAGGAAAGCGGCTCATTTTTATTTATAAACTCACTAAACTATGTATGATTTATTGTATATAAATTACAATGACATTGGGCCATACTATTACATCAATTTGTTTTTCATTTTACAAAATTACCTAATGAAAGCAGCACTACCGTATTTTTTAAATGGAAGGGTTTAAAACCCCAAAGGTCAGTGGGGATGGACTGTTTTTGAAGGGGTTAAATACATATATTTAATATATATTTCACTTGAAACAAAATTAAAGGAATAACAAAATAACAAAGTGGTAATATAACTTTTCAAACACTCTTCATTCATTTTTATAAATTCAATAATCAAGATATAGTGGACTATAACCCCTCTCAAACTCTTCATCCAAGTCGAACCTTTTTAAGGGGCATATATAAAAGTATAGAAGAATGGATATTAGAAACTAACCTGAGCAGGTCTCATTATCTTTGTATCGGGATCATCCAAGGATTCACGCCAGTGAGATAAATATCCTGCCATTCGTGGAATTGCAAAAAGAACAGTGAAGAACTCTGGAGGGAATCCCATAGCCCTGATGCATAACAGCGATGATTTAGTTACAGGAGGTGATTCTATAATGTTGTATTATTACGTAGAATCAAGTATTTCAAGAAGCATTCAAATGCACCTATAGATTAACCCAGAATAGAAGTCCACATTTGGATACAGCTTTCTCTTAACAAAATACTCATCTGAAAGGGCAGCCTTTTCTAAAGCAACAGCCACCTGAAAATCCAAGAACATCTCTCAAGTAAACTTACCTGAAAGTAACACCCTCTAAGTGCCCAAAAAAGGAGTCCAGTTTTTAAAATCAAGCGGACTTTTCTTGTCATTACTAAAATGTTGCAAAAAAAGTCACTAACCATTTAAGTTGCATAAGATATACTCCGTATATAGTTAAACCAACATATAAATTTAACATGTAAGTATGATTCATGATTGACATTTGTAAATTGGTCAAACATGACTCTTTTGGGATAAGGGTAGTAGGTGTAAAAGAAACTGTTCGGGAAAACAGAAATCCCCCATACCTCAATCAATGGATCGCTACCAACAATGGAGAAGACCTCTTCAGCTAGCTTCTTTATGACCCTAGCCCTAGGATCATAATTTTTGTAGACACGGTGTCCAAAACCAGACATCTTTTGTTTCCTACGGATCCAAAATACAACTCAGCAGCTAAGAATATATAACCTCACATATCCTACAAGACGGGGAGAGACAAACTTATCCCAAAACGAGAATGAAAGGGTGAAGAAGACTACCTATTCTTCACACCTTCAAGAAATTGTGGAATTTTGTCAATGCTTCCAATTTCGCCCAGCATCTTAAGCACAGCCTACAAAAATCAATGGTATTCATTGATTATACATGCATGCCGTACAAAAATACCCATCCAGGAAAAAACTATAAAGCTTTTTATACTGTTGTACCTCATTTGCTCCTCCATGAAGAGGACCATACAGAGCTCCAACTGCTCCCGAAAGAGCTGTGTACACATCAACACCACTGCAAGTGCAAAAGTATGAAAGTATTGTGATATTCATGAATACAGTGCTGGTCCTAGGGCAGTCTGGATGAGAAGTAATGGAGTATTGCGGAATGAGTCTTCCTATCATTACCATTATTAATTTACGCTGGCCAATATTAATTAATATTCCCTCCATTCCGAAAAGGTTGGCCAAATTTCCTTTTTTGGATGTCCCAAAAAGATTTGTCATTTCCATTTAAAGTAAGGAATATGTGGCTAAAGTTAATTCTCTCTCCTCTGCCCAAATTTCGACCACACAGTTTTTACTTTATTAATCCACATGAAAGTCAACTTTGGCCAACCTTTTCGGGACGGAGGGAGTAATAGTTTCCTATTATTATGTTATTATTATGACTACTTGTAGTTCCCTATTAGTGTTGATGCTTATTGTAGAGATACTCGTAGTAGCAGTATTCTTATAGGATGCGTTAATACTTCATCACCGAAACTCTTGGGGCTAGTATACATAATTCATTAATAAGGTCATCTATATTTTGGAACCGATTACATAAAAACTCAATAAGTGAAGACGTGAAGTACACGAAAATCCATCTCTGCTAAGAGCAAGAAGGAAACGTAGTACCATACTCTGCCAGCTTTGAGTTGTCCTATGTATTGGTAAACTATTAAGTAACAGAACACATTCAGTTAAGAAAAGAAAACAGTCTACCTTGAGGCAAGATGTCGTGCTGCTGCTGTAGAGCAGTTCATTTCGTGTTCAGCATGTAATATGAAAAGAATGTCAAGTACCCGGGCAAGTCGAGGATTGGGTTTGTAAGACCTGTTACCGCTGCAGCAAGCGAAAAAAGTGAACTTTAGAATATGAAAAAGACTACTTCAAAACACAGGACCATAAATGAAAAAACTTGAATAGTATATGCAAGAAATCATAAACAGGCTGGTCTTATTAACGGTCAATGAAGTAAAAATAAATGTCTGGTTCTCCGGAACAATTAAAGAAATATCCTTACATTGATTCAAATATCACATCAAACGCGCTGGGGAAAACTTACAATGAATCTAGCATGTACAGGAAATTTTCTGCATAAGAAAGATTGTTGGAAGGAAGGACAGGAGATCTCCCTGCCAACCTCAAATATGCGGCTGCAGCAATTGTTGGTGCCTGTAAATAGAAATGCAGGCCCATGTATCAGGACCTTTTACAAATTAACTTTTTGAAATAATTATGGATAAGGACATTTCAAACAGCTTAAAGCATAAAATTCATATATATCACATTTTATGGCAATACAAATATGTAGAGGAAATTTTTATCAAGAAGAGGAGATAACCTTCCCAAGGATGCGAACGATTTGTTTATCTCTTACTTGTTTAGATTTGTATATATCTTGACCCTGAAATACAAAATAATAATGATAATATGTAGAAATTCTAGGAAAGAGCACAGTACAAATTCAGCCACTCATGAGCATGGTTAGGTAGCATAGACAAAAAATCAGCATCATTCTGTTATGCAGTAATTGGCTAAGGTAGTGACTTCATCTTCTAGTTGCGACATGAGCATATTCTAACTAACCAAAAAGCACGGGGAAATTATTGTCAACTATTAAATAATGAAATAATCAGATCGAAAAAGCAACAATAGGACGTCAAGTTCATTCTCCCATGTTCAACCAACTTTAAGAAGCCACCCAGGTCCAA